CTGGCTAAAATGCAGTAATAAACCACCACAGAGCCTCCACTGTGCTTTACTGATGGCTGTTTTCCTCCCCTGAGGAGAACTGAAGGTTTTTTTTTTTGCTAATGTGTCTTTGAGAATTACCTTGTTGGTGGAAAAATACTATTTTTATGTCTGTCAACCTGTAAATTCAGTTTAAGAAACTGGCCTATTTTTATTCCTTTCTTTTGCTGCTAGTTACAAAGAGCAAAAAGAGGATTTAAAATTGGTTCTTTGCTTTGTTATGTGTAGAGCAGCTCATCCATAGTTAGGTGCCTTTTTATGCTTGAATGTTAGTGGCGTAACAATCTTCTGCCTCTCCGGGATGTTCTTTTTTATAATAATCATTATAATCATGTTGCTAATTAACCTTATTAGCTGTGAGATTCCCACTAGCTGTCTTTAGTTCCCCGTGTACCTACTTTTTAAAATCATATTGGTGGCATGCACTAAAGTTTTCTATGTAATATATATACATGTATATTTTAAATAGAAAGCAATGTTTGTGGCAATGTATCTCTGTACTCTATGCCGTAGCCTGATGCAGAACTCAAAGATGTGTAGGGTAGCAATATGCAGTGCAAACCCAGTAAGTTGATTAGCACAAGGATAATATCACTGTGAAACAAAATGCAATGGGATGTAATTGTATCAGGTTCATTACGCTGGTGTAGATGTTTTTCTCATTCTTATAGCTCTGTCAGTCCGTGTATAGATTTACAGTCTGTCCTCGAGTCTTCTCTCTGTTCTGCATTTCAGTAAAAATAACAGTCCAGTTTCACTTGAGGTTGCAGAGCAGCACAGAGACATCAGCTCACAATGCAAACAGCAACACCGTACCCTGTGACAGGGACTCAGCACAGAACTCTAATTTCTGCTTTAAGAGACGTGGCCTTACAAAACGACAATAACAGGGTCACCCTGACGATGGTCAACAATGCTCGACTGCAGGATACCTCACTGTGTGAAGCTTATTTTGTTTGCGCTTGTTTGCCTTCCTGGTCCATAAACAGTTTCATCATTTACACGTTGTTCACAGAGGTTGTTAATTAGTCAAGGTGGCGATTAGAACCAACGACCATTCAGACACTCACCAGAATATGGACGAGTGGGGAAAAGCCAATGATGCATCTGATTATGCAGTTGATGCTGAATGAGGCATTACTAGTTTATAAACAGGAAGGGAGCCCACTTAGTCATGCTGCTGCTGATGGCACAGCCTCAACAGGAAACTGGTAATCAGTGAAACGGACCTTGATTAAAATAAATGACGGTGCTTGCAGGAGTCCCCCTGTGATATCAAGTGCATAAATATCCCACTTCTATTTTTATTTTTGCTTTCAGATATTATCTGCGGAGTTTATATACGAGTTGTTCTGCAGATATGAATCCAGGATTTTTTTTTATTTATATGTTCTTTAAATGGCGTTATTAGAGGTGTGCTGCTTTCCTTGAAGCGTACTTGCTGGTTTTCAGAGGTGCTGCAGTACAATCACTAGTCATTCGTGTGCTTTGTGGGCCTGAAAAGCATATTGGCAGCTATGCATTAAATTGCTAATGTGCCTGGCAGAGCTACATTATCCGCCCCGTCAAAGTGACAAGGGCAGAGGTAGAGCGCTCCCTTCAGCTGTGCATGAGATCTTTGGAAAATGGGTTGTGTGGATATGGTGTGGCAGTGCGCAAAGTTGTCTTTTTAAAGGCTTTCTTTGAATTTGCCGTGTTTCCGCCTCGCTGCTTTGACAGCTGCAGAACAATGAGGCCGGATTGGCTGGCCAGTTTCACAGCACCTACATTCAGTCTCTCTGTGGTCAAACTCACACACCTGGCTGCTTCTGTAGTTATTTTTTTCCCTTTTTTACTTCGTAACATTGAGCTTCTTTCCACGCCTCGGCATGCAATGAAATATTTGTATTGAAAGAACTGGACATTAAACATATGAAACAATTGCTAGACTTTAATTGACAGGACCTAATCTTGTATGGGGGGTTTTGTAGCAGAAAAACTGTAAAGCAGTAGCTCTTTTTTTTTTCTCCTTTCCTGTGTGACTCCTGTGTTCCAGCTGGATGGTTTGTTTGTCCCAGTCTGTTCTCTGCCCAGATTCAGACTCTCGGGCCTCAGGTTGTTGAGTAATGTGATTGCCTGAGGAGCCCCAAGGATAAACACTCATGTCAGCTTCTTTATAGCTTTTCAAGATCACTTTAAGAGGCACAATGCCTGTGAGTGTTTGCCTGTTGTTTCATCCGTCGCATAGAGAATATTGCTCTTCTAATTTATGATCATTCTGTTCGTCTTGACTTATCAATATGGTTAGTAACTGTTGTCATAGAGAATGAAACACAAAAATAAAAATCCTGGGATCTGTTGACTTTTTTTCAGTATCACCTGTATCCCACAGCATCCCATCATCATGTTGCAACTTCTCCATCAATGAAAGCGTGCTGCATACAAAGACGTCTTCTCAAAACTAACTGAGGGATGGGAATAGAGAAGATGAGAGCAAACCAAGCATCTCGTGACCGTGCAGCAGTTTTAAACTTATTGCATTGATCGTGAGCGTCTCACGCTCCACGACTTTGCAGCTTTTTAATGACATTGCTTGTCATCTCTTAATCTGTCTCACCTGAATACATGGAAACGCAGTTTATGTGATTAACTTTGGAAGCACGCTTATTGATTTAATGACATCCCTAGCCGGCCTGTTCGATTGTGACTGAAAACATGCTGACGATAAATTTGGTCAGTAATTAAACTATTGATTGTTTATCAACAAATATGCATTTATTAAACACATAGGTGTTTTTTGTCGTTTTTCTGTTTGTTTGTTTTTAAGCAGAGGATTTTCTTGACCTTTATGAGTTCAAATGAAAGGGGTGGACACTATGAGGGACACAGGGTCGCCTGGTAGAGAGTTGGACCCAGACTAGGAGATGTTTTTGACCATGAGGACCCCTTCCAAAGACAACTGTCGGTCCCTGCCAGCCTGCAACCTCCAACGTGGAACGTCCACAGAGGCATATTGGGGTGAAGAGAGGCACGGCTGGCAGCAGATGGGGAGCTTGATGGAGAGCTGAAGCCAGTAACCACCTGACACCTCAGCCGCTCTGTAGGATGTGGACTGGGTGACAGAGCCTTAGTGGAGACAAAGACTGCTGCAGGAAACCATTATCCTTCCACAGGTTTACCTACGGAAACCTTGTTACGACTCCTATTTTCGTCTGGATTGATCTTGTTGTACAGAGGCGCTCTTTCAGTCATTTCAGTTACAGAGGAACAAAATGGCGAGTGAGCCTGTGCTTCTAGGGAGGAAAGAGGTGCGCTCCATTCATAACACAAGACAACATGAGAACTTTCTAGCTAAAATTACAGCCGTCTTTGAAAAGACCAGTGTTTAAGGGTTTGTGCCTGTTCGCACTTGAAGAGTGGGGTATGCTGAAGGAAGAAAATGTAGTTGATTGGCTTCGCAGCTGTCGTCGCGCCCGAGACACCTGTGCTTTTTGTGTGTGTGCTTGTTGTGTTTCACTGTTTCTGTTGACACTACTTTAAGGTCAGATGAATTTGATTATAATTGCCTCTTCCAGCAGCTTGCATGTTTCTCTTTTTACAGTTGAAGTATACACTATTATGTTTGCAAATTTATATCAGATACAAGTTCAGTATTTAAGTCTTTTTAAGTGACTTTTAATCCCTGTTTTCTCATTAACGAGTGCCAGTAATAAGGAAGTGATTGCACTGTTGAGTCGGTATTATGGCCTATTATTGTTATTTGTAGCAGATTTAGATGCAGATAAACGTCTCACTGTTTTGCATTGTTAAAATGCCAAGCTTGCCTTCTACTTATACTCTTCTGATTTGTGTTTAAAAAAAAAAAAAAAAAAAAGAAAACGCATGCAGCAGGAGCCTCTTTATAGCCTCTAAACTTTGGCATGTATATGCTGCTTTAAGATGCACATAAATGCAAATTTACAGCATCAGCTTGTTGAAACCCCTGAGCCTGCTATTGGTGCAGCAACGGCCACATGTGCATATTTGACTGAAAATAAACACAGAAAATCTGGTTTTAAAGCAAAACTGTCCCAACCAAGGCTTTGTATTGTTTAGTCTCATTTCAGTCTTGTTACTATAGCCTTTGTGTTTGTTGGCTTGTCATATTGTTAGACTTGATGCAATATGAATCAAAGAATTGCTCCAGAGCTTATTAGTCACACAGATGAGGCTGCTGTGTCCTCTGTGATATACATTTGTCTAATAATAGTCCTTTAGTGAGCTGCTGAGGTTTGCTATAGGATCTCTATAGATGAATTATGTTACATGAGCCTTTGAACATACTCGGCCTACATTAATGAGCTCGGTGGCAAAAGAAGCTGCCTCTGAAAATTTACTGAACACTTGCTTCGTTCTCTTTGGCAGCTTTCTTCTCAGCACTGTCAGCTCTTTGGTTCTGCTGCTTGACGCCGTTCCAACCCCCTCGGCTTACCACGGCTACAGTGTGAATCGAAGCCAGTTTGGAGTGATATTCCTTATATTTATTCTTAGTTTCCCCCCCTTTGGTCATTATTTCTCTGTTCTAATACCAGACCTATTTTACGTCTTTGTCAGCTCAGCCTAGTGGTTGAAATTGGAACTATTTGTACAATAAGCAGGCTTTTGTTCTGAAAATGCCACCGTATGTATGAAAGCCCTTCATCGCAACCCTTTTTCTTTTTTAAATCAGCGACTGACCTGAGAGCTGTTGGCGATAGCACAAAGGCTCACGTTGTGAATGGAAGCTTCATCTTCCATGTTTCAAAAAAGAAAAACTCAGCAGCTTATCCATTCGTACCGCCTTCAGAAAATCTGTAAATAATCTATTCGTTCCTAGAGATGAGTCTTTGTTGTTCCCCTTCTCAAAATTGGCCTACAAATGAAAATAGATCTTTATTCTATCTGTGTGGTTGTTTCTATGCCTTACACGAAGTAATCCCTATTATTTTTCTGCATCTCTACAGGTTCAACTACAGATCAACACACCATCTCACCACCAATGGCTTCTATGAGTTCCTCAATTGGTTCGATGAAAGGGCGTGGTACCCCTTGGGGAGGATCGTGGGTGGCACAGTAAGTTTATCCTCAAAATGCAGCTCCATTTGTTACATATTTGTTCATCAATTTTCCATTTACAGTTTAGAGAACTAGAGATTTAAATCTTGTTAATAAGGTGCCCATAAGAGCCACAAGTATCTCTACTGATCCGATTTCTAAATGGCCTATTCAGCTTTGGAGCTACAAAGCTGATGGAGCCTATCCCATCTTGCATACACATCTTGGGTACACACTGGATCTGTCAACAGCCCCCCCACCCCCTCACACAGTCTCACATCCTCACCTACAGTCAATTTTGAATCATAATTTAACCTAAAAAGTATGGCTGTGGGGAAACTCCATACAGGAGTACCACAGGCTCACAAAATTTTAAGAAAATATGTTTTGTGATTTAAAAAAAAAAAATAGAGAGAACCTGAGCAACACTGACTTGGATAATGACCTCTGTGTATGTGTATGGGGAACAGTCAGTGTTTACACTCTTTAGAAAAACCATGGTGCCCTCAGCCTACATCAGAATCATAATACTCTGGATACTTTACCTTTTTGGGCCATTCTGTTAACCACAGATTGGTTGTGTGGGAAAATCTCAATAGATCAGCCCTTTCTGAAACACTCGAACCAACCTGGCTGACACCTACGACCGTATCCAATCCAGCATTACTTACATCGCCTTTCTTCCCTCATTCTGATGCCCGATTTGAACTTCAGCAGGCCTTATTGGTCATGTCTACATGCATAAATGCACTGAGTTGCTATCACGTGACTGGTTGATTACATGTGTGTCTATGAAGTAGTTGTACAGCTCTACCCCAGTGAGAGTATGTATCAGAAAAAACTAAAAAGCGATCATTATTTCCAACCACGACTTTTCCCAGCTGAAGGTCAATCATCTGCATATTGCTTTAGGTGTTTGATGTAAAACACAGAGGCAAGCGTTTACATTTCCGAAGGCCGAACATTTGCTGTGCTTGAAATTGACCCCAAGGATAACCTTTCTAAATAGTTGCCTTTTCCCCCTCAATTTTCTGTTGTTTTACTAAATCAGCTCAGACAAGTGTTTCATCCTCTTTGTGTTTCCACCAAAGTGTTGCCTTGTCTCCGCATCTCTTTTATTTTAATGGCTGATTTAAATTCAGCCCGTAGTTTCCAGTTTGGTCACTTGAGCATTGAGGCACTACATTTTGCTGAATGTGTCTTGCAGTTTGTTTAATCAGACAGTGACCTCAAGTGTGAACGAGCTCGCTCTGCATCAGACTAAAAGGGGTTGAGATAAGTGTCAGCAACTAACGCTGAGGCCATGGCACTATATTAGATTGCTCCCTTTCAACTTGGGAGCAACTTTCTGGCCCATGTGTGACACAGTGAAGTTGTATTCATGAAGGGAGAGTAAGATGAGCCTGATACTGAGAGTCAAATTGGTCCTGAAAGAATAGATTTACACTACTTTAATGAGTCTTCTAATATTAAGGATAAGGTTGAAGAAAGCTTTTAGTGTTTAGAGTCTGCCTTGCAAAAAATCTCAGGGCAACAGGACATAAGCTAGAGGAATTCTGCATCGTACATAGGCTGGAAATAGTACGCTTGATGCTGCAATGTCCTGATTTTTAAAAAGACTGAGATATATTTGCATTGCATGACCCTGACCTGGTTTGGTGGCAGAACACACAGAGGCTCACACATAGGTCGACCAGCACATCGAGATGCCCATTTGATCCTGTCGGCACACAAGGTTCAATACAGGGATAAAAACAAACACAAGCTTACTACATACAAGAACAAAGAAGGCCTGCCTACATGCAGTGTGGAGAAGTATTTCAAGGGTACTAAAGTCAGGCTTGGCAGATCAAGGATGCCATAGAGCCCCATAAGCCTCCACCAAAGAGCATGGATTTAAGTCACAATCCAGGAACAACAGTTAACCGTTAACTTGACTGATTCCCCTCAGCTGCCGTGCCCTCCCCACTGACCAGCAACATGATTACGATAAAATATTGAACTTTTTCGGTGAAAAATGGGACATGATGATTCTACAAAATGTGTCTCCCATTTCCCCGATTCCCTCATCTCCCAGCCTCATCTTCTCACCCCTCTATCCTGTGAACAGTGACGTCTATGTGAGTTAAATACCTTTGGCCTTTCTATCTCCCTTTCCTCCTTAACGTCCCCACCTGCTGTTTGTTCTCTCAACCAAGCTTCATGGACATACTAGGGTTATACTCTGAGCTATAATTGCTCTAGCTAATGGTGCATCAGGACTACAGAATCTAGGTACTCAGTGCCAGATAAATGTGGAAATGAATTCTTACCTCGATTACTAGTTCAGGTAAAACGCTGAGCTAGAGCCTGACCCTTGGAGCCTGTAGTGAGACTCCTGTCTCTTTCCCTCTGATTAGGGAGTTCCTGCACATAGCCGATACAACAAGGCATGTTAATGCTGTGCATTTATTCACATTTCTGTTATTGTAGTACCAAACAACGTCCAGGGCTGGAGCTGGAAGACATTCTACATACTGATATTTGAATATAGTTTTCACTCCTGCACAAGCAATCCAAGGAATTATACATCCCAAACCTATCCATCAGGATTCATCTGTCATAAGTAATTACCATCAGATTCTGGTAATTGCACATGACAAGCCTAGCCTGTAATAATGGATGCTCTGCTTCTGTTTCAGTACACGGACGCTTGGGCTAAGCCGTGTACCCAGAGGGTGGAAGCTGAAACTCATGAAAATTAATTTAAGACTGTACGCCTTCCAGTTCAGATTACTCGTCTAATCATGACATTAACAAGATTCCCGGACTGTACATTGCATTATCTTCAGCATAAATATCAGTGCACACAGAGCTGAGGTTCTTCTTCTGCACATTTGGAATATATTGATGGCGTATGAGTCAAAACAGGAAATGATCGTAGAGTATTTCACACGCTGCAGTCTCCTTTCTGCTCAATGTAGTTTCACTGAAGATTCATTTCATTTTCCAGTTGGACATTACTTTAAATATTTTAATGTTCTCACTAAAGCAATTTGCAAAGGGAGAACATACATGGGCTTGAGCAGTATCACATCTGGAGGTTAGAAGTTGGCAGACAGACGGTGCATTTCATGAGTGCTTTATAACTTCATTTCTGGTATACTTCTATTTGTCATTTGTTTTATTAATATTAGGCTTGTTCCAAATGTCAATGTTCCCCCATTAAACAAACAAACAAAACCCTAACATTTAAATCATAAGAATAGAATTAAGGTCAGTTTGATTTCTAACCGTTGTATTATATAGGACATAAGTATGACAAATCTAGCCTAACTAAAACACACAGGCTCAAGCTGATACAAAATCCTGCCTGTGTTTCTGAACTTTTCTTGGAAGTGTTGTGCTGAGTGGTTACGAAGAGTCACTGCAGCCATTTCAGCAGGTATAATTTGTGGAGCGATTGTGCTGGGGCCTAAGGTATGTGTTGCACTGTCTGCAATTACAGAGGTCATGTAGTACTTGCGGCGTTATTATTTTGAGCATCGTCTGTAGATGATTGTTACTTCATACCTTTTTTTTTCTTCTTCTTTTATTTGACATTTTTAAAATGCCTGATTCTGGATCCCCAGGGATGATACTTATACCACTGGAATGAATTCACATAAAGCATGCTGGAACTAATATGCAGCTTCACAAGGTGCTTTGGCAACCAAATTAATTAATCTGACTGGAAGAAAAATGTTAAAGAGTAAAAGATGCACTGCAGCGGAATGGCTGTGGCATCGCAAAAAGTGGAGATATTGTATTTCTTTTTTTTAATCATTGTCAACAAATCCCTTGAAAATGCAGAAATGGATAATGAATTCATCCTTCCAGCAAGATCTGTGTGTAAGCCAAGGCTTGATATAGCATATTTCTCTGTGCCATAGCGCTTCATTTGCCCCCAAACTGTGTCACTGTCAGTGAGCCACACTGTTGCACTACATAAATGACACGTTGCTTCCTCACCATGAACATTAGCATTGTGTTTTGTTTTAAGTCAGTCTCTTATGCATGGTCTTGCTGATGTAAATACTCACTAGCTTACCAGATGCATACTAATCCCCTGTTTGTTAAAATGCCCAGATATCCCAGGGCATCACTGTGGCTCCCTTTGAGATTTACATGCTCGGTCTACACAAAACAGTCCACTGTAACCCACAGTGGACTTTTGGAAAACGTTTAGTGGCAGATGGCAGGTGACATTTCCCCTTATAAGACACATCCATTTCTTTAGCAGATGGGTGGGTCATTTAATTGGCCACACTAAATGCAAATGTCTCCGTATCACATGTAAATGTGCAGAGTCTAGGAGTTGATGCGTAGGAATTGATGCATCTGATAGAACTATGGCCCTTTAGCAACTAGAAATATTTGACCTATTTCTTTTTTTATTACAAAAAAATAGATGAAGGAAAATGAAAAAACTAATTGGATCAGACTTTACAGGAATGCAAACAGCATAAAAAGCATGATTATGACCTTTTCTCCAAAGTGTCTGAATAAGAGAGAGCAATCTGAAAGCTAAGGAAATGCAAATTTAAGCACATTTGAGATTGCATTAAAATAACTGAAAAATAACAAATTATTCTTGATTATTATTTTATTGCTTAGAGAGACAAATGGGTTCATTAAGGGCTGAGATTACATCAGGGATCGACTCTGAGCTGTTGCTTGCTTGCAGTGATAGACAGATGAGGTCAGGCAGGAGTCTCTGTGGTCTGTGATGTTTGCAGATGACATTGGTATCTGTAGGGAGAGTGGGGAGCAGGTGAAAGAGTCTGAAGAGGTGGAGCTATGCTCTGGAGAGACATAGAAAGGAAGTCGGTAGGTGGAAGACAAAATACATGTCTGTAAAGTAGAGTAAGACAGGAAGGTGATGATGCAAGGAGTAGAGGAAGTGACGTAGATGAGTTTATATACCCCGGGGAGTGGACAGTGCACAAGTGGAGTGGTGGGTAGAGACCTGTGTCAGGAGTGTTTTGGAGTTGTAAGAG